AGAATCAGCAGAGATACTAAGATACAACATACACAATACTGTCTCCTTCTTCATCTTCTGAAACAATATCATCAAGGCTTAACCCACAAGAGAAAGACAATGTAGGTTTCATCTTCGGAACCGGACCAGGCTCAACCTCATTGTTAAGTATCTGAAGAACACGTCTCATCGATGGTCTCTCATTACTATCTGGATGGGCACACATTAGTCCAACAAGCAACAGTTTCTTCATCATTTCCTCATCAAACTCACCTTTTAATCCCTCATCCACAGCTTCAAGAACTCTTCCTTGACTGTGCAGTCTCCAAACCCAATCCACTAGATTCACTGTCTTTTGACTCTCTGGTTCTTTATCTATTGGCCTTCTCCCACAAGCAACCTCTAGAATCACCACTCCGTAGCTAAAAGCATCTGTTTTCTCAGTCGCAGTGCCGTATTGCAGATACTCTGGTGCGAGATAACCCATCGTACCAGCGGTTAAGGTTGAGACAGGGCTCTTGTCATGCTCCGTGAGTCTAGCCAGACCGAAATCACCGAGCCTCGCGTTGAAGTTGATGTCAAGCATTATGTTGCTTGTCTTTATGTCTCTGTGAACCACTTGCTGCTCACATTCATGGTGAAGATAAGATAAAGCTGAAGCTAAACCAATCGCTATGTTAAGCCTATGTGACCAGTCAAGAGACACAGCTCCTGTTTCTGATTCTTGATACAGAATCTTGTCAAGACTTCCATTAGACATGAACTCATAAACGAGAAGCAACTCTCCCTTCTCGTTACACCAACCGTGCAGCTGAACAAGATTCTTGTGACGCAAACAAGCAATGATCGATAACTCAGCCAAGAACTCAGTTTTGCCTTCGGTTGAGTTATGTCTCGATCTTTTCACAGCAGAGATCGTTCCAGAGGAAACAAACATGGCTTTGTACACATTCCCAAACGCTCCTCTACCAATGACTCTACTCGAATGAAACCCTTTCGTAGCTGCGTAAAGCTCTCTGTAACTAAACTCTCTTAGACCTGTGATTAGCTCAGTCTTGAGCTCTTTCTCTGCTTTCACACCTTTCCATTTCTTCAAAGTTAAGTATCCAAACACCAATAGAGCTAAACAGAAGAAGATTGGACAAGAAATACCAAGTCCAATAGCAAGATTGTGCCTGTGACGCTTCTTCTTGCTCGTGGGTATAGGCACAGGATCAATGGAACTATCTGAGACATTGTGAAGATGATTGGATCTTGATCTCACCGGAAGAAACCCAGACGTCTTGAAACTCCAATTCTCGATCAAGTGAATCTCTGTGCTTCCTTCTGTTGAACCAGAGAATCCTACATACATCTCACCGTTTAAGAAAGGAGAAAGATCAATCTTCACAGATAAAAGAGGCTTCTCTGGCTTCTTCATTACTGCATCATCTGTGTAACTCAAGAACACGTTCAATAAACGTAAATCGTTCTTGTAATCGATCCAAGCAGTTATCGATTTCCCAGATTTCAAATCAATTTTAGAAGAAACGAACGGATCTGAAGTCGCGATCGAATTTAAGCTATCGACATCTAATCCGATGTGATTACCGCTCGGATCGTTGAAATGAGAATCCAATTTGGTGTCGAATTCGATCGCGACGAATCGATTCTTCATCGTTTGTGTGGAATTGACGAGACCCAAGTAACTACCGGGACTACCCAAAGTGTCGTTGTCGTGAGAGAGGAAGAAAGAGAGTCCGTCGCCGGAGGAATCTGGGTTTACGTTTTGAACGGAGAAGGAGAAGTGAGTTGAGAAAGACGCCGTGGTGTTTGAATCCGGATCGTAGAAACGGATCGGAGTGTTGTAGATTACGGTGCCGGAGCTCGTATCGGGAACGCCGAGCTCTCTTGTGAGCCCGACGACGCCGTTTCGGAGATGAGAATCGCCGAGGAAAGTGAGGTTACGAATCGTGAAGGATTTGAATGTGAAATTGACATTATCGGAAGATACGAAGATCGGATTCGCCATGGAAAGAGATATCCATGTGAAGAAGAGAACAAGAAGCTTTCTTGAAGAAGCCAT